TCTATCTATCTATCTATCTATCTATCTATCTATCTATCTATCTATCTATCATCTATCATCTATCATCTATTATTACATATAAATTAGCAGGCTTCATTATGGCATTTTTATATATACTAGGTTTTGATAACCCTCCTACCCTCTTTAGCATTGCCTTACCCCACTCTATATCTAACAAATCCTTTCACCCTAAGTGGTCCTTTCTTTACTATCATATCACCTGTGTTCTGTTATTCTCCCTATTGCTCTCCCATAAAGCTTCTTCTTCCCAGTCATAGTCCCTTTTCTGTTTGTTGGCATCAGTGATCCTTCATTCCCATGCATTGTGTGTGTTTGTATATATACACAATATAACATTACATATGATATAAAATATATATACATAAGATAAATTATGTATGTATATGTGTACATATATAATATGTTATTATAGATAACATATAATCTATAATATAATATATATAATATATAATTAATACACACACACACACACACACACACACACACACACACACACATGAAGTTAAAGCTGGATGTTGTGGTGCATGCCCTTAATCCCAGTACTTGAGAGGCAGAGAATATATGCCCAGGAGTGGTATTGCTGGATCTTGAGGTAGCACTATTCCTAATTTTCTGAGAAAGCGCCAGATTGATTTCCACAATGGTTGTACAAGTTTACATTCCTACCAGGAGTGGAGGAGGGTTCCCCTTTCTTCACATTCTCTCTAGCATGTGCTGTCACTTTGAGTTTTTGATCTTAGCCATTCTGATGGGTGTAATGTAGAATCTCAGGGTCGTTTTGATTTGCATTTCCCAGATGACTAAGGATATTGAGCATATCCTTAAGTGTTTCTCTGCCATTCAATATTCCTCTATTGAGAATTCTCTGTTTAGCTCTGTACCCCGTATTTTAAATTGGATTACTTGGTTTGATGGTGTTTAATTTCTTGAGTTATTTAAATATTCTGGATATGAGCCCTCTGTCAGATGTAGGGTTGGTGAAGATCCTTTCCCAGTCTGTAGGCTGTTGTTTTGTTTTGATGACAGTGTCCTTTGCTTTACAGAAGCTTTTCAGTTTCATAAGGTCCCATTTATTGATTATTGATTTTAGAGAGTGTGCTGTTGGGGTTCTGTTCAGGAAGTTGTCTCCTGTGCCACCTACTGGCATTTTTATTTTTTCTTTTGAGAAGTATCTGGTAAGTTTACTGACCTGGAAATTTTGTTTTAGCGTTTTATTTATTTATTTATTTATTTATTTATTTATTTATTTATTTATTGCAGTTTTTAAAAGCATAGTCAAGATACTAACACATTGTCTGAAGTGAAGCTGGCAAAGATTTTTCTCGCATTGTGTAGGTTATCTCTTCACTCTGCATCCTTTTATATGAACATTTGTGAATTCTTGAGTCTATTTTCTGTGCTGTTGGGGTTCTGTTCTCAAAGTTCCTATCTATTCCTATCCCCTGGGTTTTCCTCTACTAGCTTCAGATTTTCAGATTTTAAATTGAGATCATTATTACAGTTTTATCTTTCTTCTGTGCAGGACAATAGATAACAGACCTAATTTCATTCATTGCAGGTAATTATACAGCATTCTTTTGGGGTCTTATTCAGAAAGTTGGGTCTATGTGAATTTCTTGAAACCCTTCTATGTTTTCTCAAAATAAGTAGTTTTGTAATTTAAGGTCATACATTCAAGCATTTGATTCATTTGGATGTTTGCAAACAGTGGAAGATGGAGTCCAGCTTTTTTTTTCTGGATATAAATAATTAGTTTTCCCAGCACCATACATTAGAGAAACTATTATTTTCTATTGTGTATTTTGGCACTTTTGTTGAGAATAACTTTTTGTCTTTAGATGTTATGGATTTATTTCTATGATCTGTTTCATTGGCATGTACCTATTTCGTAGTAGTAACATTTTTTTGTTACTATAGCCTAAGAATATCTTATGATAAAGTATCAAAATTTTCTGCTTTGTTTCATTAAAGACTGATTAACTAATAAGCATATAATAACGTGCCATCCACTAATGAGTAATCTCACTTCCTTACTTGTTTTACAAAGCCTTTTTTACTTTTTTCACTGGATAATATTTTCAATCCTCTATTGAATAATTGTATGAAAATGGACATTATTTCATTCATGCTGTCTGAGTTTAAACATTTAGCTTTTCTTTAGTCAGTATATTTGCTATGATTTATAATGTATAACTGTTATTGCATTAAGGTACATGCTTAAAATTTTAATTTATTGGAATTTAAATGCTTTTTTTAATCATGAAAGGATGTTGAATTTTGCTAAATGCCTTTTCTGCATTTATCAGGATGATCAAATGAGTTTTGGCTTTGATATGGTAATTAAATGATTGGAATATCTAAGGCTTTAATATTTTGTTTGTTTGTTTGTTGTGGTTGAAAGAGGATCAAAATAGCCCCCTCTGTTGTGAGAATTGTAGCTCCTCTTATGTAGCTCCTCTTATGTTTCCTCTCATGCTGTTCTTAAAAAAAATTATAAAGATTGTAGGATTTCTTTGGCTGTCTTCATCCACCCAACAGCCTCTTTCTCCTGCCCGTATAAAGGGCTTAAAGATATTCCAAGATGTTCCAGTATGAGATGACCTGTCCAAAGCTGTTCAGGTTCTTGGGAATGGTCATCTTCTTTTGTTTAATTGCGTTTGTATCTTTTTATTACTAGTTACTTAATTTTAGTAACTTAATTTCTGTTTTCTTTGGCAAAGGATTTTGAGAACTTTAATATTTTACTTTAAAATTTAAAAAATTTAAAGTATATTTTACTATAAATTTCTAGACTTATTGTGTTTTGATCCACAGTTATTTAAGATACTTGGAACTTATACTGACAGTGTGACCTAAAGATCATTATAAAATGATGAATTCCATATGTGCTATTTGATAAAGAACACACTGGTCTTGGGAGGGAATGAGGGAGCGGGCTACAGCTGGGATACAAAGTTAATAAACTGTAACTAATATTAAAAAAATAAAAATTTGAAAAAGAACACACTCGTCTATTATTGTTACATGTTGGGACATTATATATATATTATATATATATATATATATATATATATATATATATATATATATATGTTATTCTGTCTCGTTAGTTATAATACTTAGGACCTCTTTGTCTTTTGATGTGTTTTGTGTTGTTTGGTGTATTTCTGTAGAATAGGAAGTGTTGGACTCTCCATGTGCTCTCATTTAGACTCCAAGGACTTCTAAATACTTGACTCCATAGAAGGCAAAAAGCTTTGTCTTTTTCTTAATCTGCAGTCTTATGCATTCTTCCCTTGGTAGTCAATCCACACTGCATGTTCCTATTACAAGACAGAATATGCTTCAGTCTCTTTTGTGTGTCATGACTCTGAGTGGATCTTGTCTACAAATGATTGCTTTTTATAGCTTCAGGGTACATAGCATATTTTTCTTAAAACAACAACAATCTATCTAAATGTAACAAACTCTTTTGAAAAAGTAAACTTCTGCTGAAGTTTAAAGCTTTATATTTAAATAGGAAAAAAATTTAAGAAACACAAAATATCCCTCAAGTGTCTCCTGTCTACATGGAACCTCCTAATGTGGACTTTTCTGTTTCTCAGACATTGAAGCAACTGAAAAGGAGCTAGCTCAGTTGTCTCGGATTCAACCATTAATATTCAATAATTCTTCAGTTTCTGTCATAAGGGATTCTTTGAAAATGCTGCAGAAAAAAGACGAATATATCATCAATGAGTTTTTGGTAAATACATTGGTCTAAAGAAAAGTTAATAATTTCCTTTTCTATACCACAAGCAGAAGTTTTCTTTCTTTTTATCTTTTTAAATGAATATATTGCTTGTAGTTATATAAATATCATATCTTAAAATAATAGATGGACATGGTAAAAATAATGAAGTATCATAAAAGTATATAAAATATGTAAATACTGTCCTTTTTTTCCCCTTTCATTTCTCTCCAGAGCCCTTTTTAACTATTAAGCTTGTTGTAAATGTAAAGAAGTGTTGGTGTGTTCTTTATTCACAAGTCTGCCCCGTTAAAGACACTTTTCTATAACATACAATTTTTATTACTACTACCACTATATACAGTTGTTCTTTGAGTTAATTGCGTGTCAGATATCTTCATTTCTTGAAGTAGTGCCAGGACGTTTAGCTTGTTCTACTTTCTGCTTTTGAATACAGTCATTCCTTGTATTCTTATTATACATGTGTCTTTTTTAAGAACACACTTCTAGAAAGACAGTATTTTGGGCTGTCAAATTTTCATGTTTGTTAATCATAACTTTGTTAATGATCTGTCATTTCTTTATTATAAGATACAAAATTATCTTTCCATGTTTTTAAGCATTGCATATTTCCATGCAGTTCTTTATCCAAATTTTTGCTTATTGTTTTTAAAATTGACTATTCTTCATATAAGAATTTATTACTTTTATGTGTTTTGTATGTGGTATATTTACACATAGATGTACCTGTTTAACACGAAGGAATGACTAATTTTTAGTAGTGAAATTCAGTTATCAAAGGACTTCTGGGTTTTTACATTCTATCCATTTTTTAATATCCACTTCAGTCTAAGAATGTAATAACTATTTCATACTTTTCTGGTACTATTAAAATATTGTTTAGTATTTGAATTTTTCATCCAGTGTCCAGTTAACATGTAACTTGATTCAGGTGTTTGGAAGGAACCACTATTGTGTATCTGTCCATTTATCTTAAGACTCTACTGAAAAAAAAATTTATAATGTATGATGGCATTTTATCTTAGATTTTCAAAATATTGACTTTATTGTTTATGTGCTGGTTCCAGATATCTAAGCTTTTTACTGTATATTAAGACTAGTCTTATTTACTGTTGTATGACTTTTTTTCTAGTTCTTAAAGATTTCTTTCTGGGTCAGTTTTAGAATTGGTTTTCAGAAGGAATAAGAATTGCCAACTTGGCCATAGTGCCCTGCTGCTTGACACCGAAGCAAGCACTTCCTTTCAATGGCAGCAGTTTTTGACACTTACTTCAGCACTGGTGATTAAATATTGGATATACAAAAATCAGCAAAGAATAAAGTAAACATAGACTCTCAGGATATTGTATGCAGTCCTTATTGGACGAGATCTTACTTTCTCTGCTTATTATATAACGTTGGATAGCAAGTTATATCATATGGAGCCAAGGATAACAAATGCTAAACAAAGGGAGATTTTCTTTCTTTAAAATAGTAAATACATAGCTTTTTTTACTTTTTGAAGGCGTTAGAACAAATGGCTCTGTCTGATGATTTCAACTATGGGACTGCAGAAAGCAACAGAGAAAAAAACAGATACCGAGATATTCTTCCATGTAAGCTAAGAGCATTTTAAATTATTTTCTTGTTAACAGATGGGAAAGGTAAAAACTCAGTTTCTGTATGACCCATTTTGAACTTTACCATGAAGAACTCTAGGATCGAGCATTAGATTACCTGGGCATATTCTAGGTGACCTCTTCTGACACCTGCAGCCATTATTCACCCAGCCTGTTAGCTCTGATTGCCCATCTGAGACTGAGTCTGAGAAGTCCATTACCTGGTACCCAAGCCTGGCTTAGCCTTCCCTGCTAGTTTGTTTAAAATACAATGGGGCTTTTTAAAAATATTGGTTACAGTTTATTAACTTTGTATCCCAGCTGTATCCCACTCCCTCATTCCCTCCCAATCCCACCCTCCTTCCCTCATCTTCTCCCTGCCCTTTTCCAAGTCCACTGATAGGAGAGACCTCCACAATGGGGCTTTTTATATCCTCTGCCCTAGACATTAAAACTAACTCATCAATCTACTGCCCAACAGGCAGCTGCTTTTTTATTATATCCAAAGGGCTCTACCCATTGATTTCCTACATTGTATGGAAGGTAGAACTGTTTCCTGTTCCTCAGTGTATTTGCACACAGCATTGTCAATCTCAACCACCCAAAGCACAGAAACAGAAATATGATAATGCAGCCTTAACAGAAATTTTATTATATGATTATCTCTTTTAAAGTTAAAATTTTCTAAGTCAAATTTACCATTTTTCTACTAGCTTAACCCTCTTTCATTATTTCAGTTTTGATATAACGATCCACTGTTCAAGCCAGAAAGCTGAATCACATGTTATATTGCAAAAGGTGCTTGTAAATTCTTCTTCTTTCACCTCTTTAACACCTCTAGACTCTTCTCACACTTCTCTATTGGCATTGCTGCCAACCTGGACTGAGTATCTTTCACCTCTCAGCTGTTTTCTGTATCTTCACTGGTCCTTTTATTACCCATTCACAACAGCTGTTGAAGTGATTTTCCTACAACACAGTCAGGCTATCCAGCTGTCCTCTTCCATTACCTTCGTTACTGTTACAGTGAAGTTCTCCTTGATGTTGGTCTGTTTGTCTCTTTGGGTTTCTAGAAGTCATTCCTTTTCTTTCCTCCATATGATTAAACTTTTAATCAACGCAATAACTACCTTCCTTCTCTGCTGTGGTAATCCCTGTCTTTCATAGCCTGTCAGCCTAAACTTTGATCTTTTCCTTAAAGCTAGAGTTGGTGATTTTTCAAGGGTTCTAGTATCTTGTGGGTGAGTACTCTTCCTACTTAACCAAGTTATGCTTCAGAGATTTTCATTGTTTCTCTAGATAGTTCTGAGGTAGTACAAATCAGAGTGGGACAGCATCTGCCAAGATACAATAGATATTTTTATGTTCTGTCAGCTTATTAATATTAAATAACTTTTATATGAAGCAGTGAGCACCTTCTCAAAATGCTTAAAATAGTGTATTCTGTCATCTTGTGTGAGTCAAGATAAAGTTCACTATTGAGTATTTCTGAGAATCCAGTCAGTGAGCCACTATGCAACATTTTAGCAGTGTAAACAATCTGAAAGGTCAAAGGTCTCATATGTTGATTTTTACCACTACATGTGCAATTACTTTTCAAGGAGGCTGAAAGTAAAAATGTTTTAAAAATGATCCTTTCAGGATTATAATAAATAAGAAGTGGTTTTGAAGAAGTAAAATATACATATGTATGATTCTGTTTGAATTCTATCCTGAGCACGGAATAGAGATATCGAGATGCAAAACAGTTCACTTACATGATTAAAAATAAGGAAAATCATCCTAAAGCTCTTGCTTTGCTTAAACTGTAATTCAACTAAATTCTACTTTAAGATTTGCTTACTTCATAACACAGCCTAATCTAATCTGAATATCAGCCTGTGTGGGTGAGAACCGTGAAAGCATCTTTGGTTTTTTTTATCACGCATGCAGAGGAAGTTCTGATGACACAGCAAGAAAGCCAGAATCATTTATTTGACCACCGTTCAGTTAGTCTTCACTTTGCAAAGCCTCACATGGACACATATTGTTACTAATACAGCATATTGTTAAAAATATTGTAACTTAAATCAGGTTTTACTTTATTAACCATGAATAGTCCCAAACATAGATATACGACTGTTAACTCCTTAGTATACAAATTGTTGTGTTAGTAAAAGATGGACAGCACACCAGGGACTAACTGAATTCTTTCAAAGTCGGTTTGTGTTGTGTGAACAAACAGGAAAACGCGTAGTTTTGTTGTCCCTTTATCTCCCAGTGAGAAGCCCACATAACATTCAAGAAAGATAACCAAGAAAGAGATGATTGACAAAGATAGCAGTCACTGACAGCAAAATAAAAAAGAGAAAAGTTATACTTCTGGGGATAAAATTAGAATTGAACACAAATGTCCCTATAAGAATAAATAGCTGGCTTGGGAGCAGGGGATATTGCACCCAAACAGAGGACTTTACGGCTATACCCAGAGGACTTGCTCAAGAGTGACTTACCAAAGCAAAACATTGAGTAGTTGGGGTGATTAGAGAAAGGCTGCATAAGAGGAAAGTGCTGGCTAGAAGTTTTACATTATAGGAACTTTAGGATAGTTTTACAGCAATGGCAATACAGAGGGTAAAATGATAGGAACAAATCCAATGTAGAAGAGAATATGACAATCAAGATACAATAAGTTATACAATGAAACGAAAGAGCAAACCCTTTTCAAACTAAAAATGAAATGTTTTTGTTCTGTGTCTTTAATGTTTTAAATTAGTGTTCAAAATATGAATCTTTAGATTTTTCTACATATTTATAATCAGCAAGAACGTTTTTAAATCTTTGACAAAAAACTTAAAGGCCATGTAACCATCATTTTTCCTATTGATTATTAATATAGTTCTATAATTTCAGTTTACATAGTCATATTTATGGCCTTGTACCATCATGCACTACAAGGAAGACCTTTATTACAGGGGTTTCCTGTTGGAAACACAATATATTGCAATTTATTTAACACATTACAACTTGCAAAACACCTACTTGACAAAGGATATATATTTATAATATTGTAAGAATTTCTATCAGTCAAAGAACAACAACCGTACAGTAAAAATGAGCAAAGGATTAGAGGAGCTGCATGGATAACTAGAAGTAGGTTGCTTTTATTGGCAAAGCCTTGAATTCACTTTACTGTCTAGTTTTTTCATAATTTAGTTTAAAGGGATTTCAATCATCTTTTTCTTCTATAAGGTTCACACAGGCCATTATGGTGAGCAAACAGTAGCAGATTCTCTGTATTTATTTTCATGTCAGAGCATGAAAGATACAACTAAACGGAACTTCTGTGATTGAAATTTCTAGGGGTCCAAGCTTGTAGCACATTTTGAGGATTGAGCATCTTACCCAGGGTCCTCCTTCTTGCTTAGTTTCTTTAGATGTACAGATTTTAGTATGAATGTCCTATATTATATGTCTAATATCCACTTATAAGCAAGTATATATCATGTGTGTCTTTCTGCTTCTGGGATATTTCACTCAAGATGATCTTTTCTAGTTCCCACCATTTGTCTGCAAATTTCATGACTTCCTTCTTCTTAATTGCTGAGTAGTATTCCATTGTGTAAATGTACTACAATTTCTGTATACATTCCTCAACTGAGGCACATCTGGTTGTTTCCAGCTTTGGCTATTACAAATAAAGCTGCTACGAACATGGCTGAGCAAATGTCCCTGTTGTATACTTGAGCATCTTTTGGATATATTCTTAGGAATGGTATAGCTGGATCTTGAGGTAGCACTATTCCTCATTGTCTGAGAAAGTGCCAGATTGATTTCCAAAGTGGTTATCCAAGTTTACATTCCTACCAGCAATGGAGGAGGGTTTCCCTTTCTCCATACTCTCCCCAGCATGTGTTGTCACTTGAGTTTTTGAGCTTAGCCATTCTGATGGGTTTAAGGTGAAATCTCAGGGTTGTTTTCATTTGCATTTTTCTGATAGCCAAGAATGTTGAGTGTTTCTTTAAGTATTTCTCTGCAACTTGATGTTCCTCTATTGAGAATTCTTTGTTTAGCTCTGTACCTTGTATTTTAAATTGGATTACTTGGTTTGATGGTGTTTAATTTCTTGAGTTCTTTATATATTCTGGATATGAGCCCTCTGTCAGATGTAGGGTTGGTGAAGATCCTTTCCCAGTCTGTAGGCTGTCAATTTGTTCTGTTAACAGTGTCCTTTGCTTTACAGAAGCTTTTCCATTTCATGAGGTCCTATTTATTGATTGTTGCTCCTAGAGCCTGTGCTGTTGGTGTTCTGTTCAGGAAGTTGTCTCCTGTGCTAATGAGTTCAAGGCTCTTCCTCACTTTTTCTTCTAACCTGTTTAGTGTGTCTGGTTTTATGTTGAGGTCTTTGATCAACTTTGACTTTAGTTTTGTGCAGGGTAATAAATATGAATCTATTTGCATTTTTCTACATGTAGACATCCAGTTAGACCAGCACCATTTGTTGAAGATGCTGTCTTTTTTCCATTGAATGGTTTTGGCTTCTTTGTGAAAAATCAAGTATCTATAGGCGTGTGGATTTATTTCTAGGTCTTCTATTCAATCCCATTGATTCACCATTCTGTTTCTATGCCAGTACCATGCAGATTTTTTTTTCCTGTATTATTGCTCTGTAGTACAGCTTGAGATCAGGGATAGAGATACCGCCAGACAATGTGTACAGGATTGTTTTAGCAATTTTGTTTTTTCATATGATATTGAGAATTATTCTTCAATATCTGTTAAAAATTGTATTGGTATTTTGATGGGAATTGCATTGCATCTGTAGATTGCTTTTGGCAGGATGGCCATTTTCACTATGTTATTCCTAGCCTTCCATGAGCATGGGAGATCTCCCCATCTTCTAATGTCTTCTTCAGTTTCTTTTTTCAGAGACTTGAAGTTTTTTCAAACAGGTCTTTCACTTGCTTGGTTAGAGTCACACCAAGATACTTTACATTATTACTGGCTATTGTGAAGGG